AAAAATTTTCCAACATAAAGAAAAGAAATGATTGTGTGGTACTTGAAAAGGATAATTCTTGTTGTACACTTTTGTGTACAACAAGTTTAACACTCCTATCACATGGGAGGTGGGGCCCATGTGGGGCCTATGATTTTTAAAATTGCGGACCCACCCGCCATGTGTGGGGAGTGTCAAACTAGATGTACACAAAAGTGTACATCTAACATTACTCATTTGATAACTGCTTGAAGATAATCTCAGGAGTCCTTGTTGCCTTATAACGTCCTTGGAGAAGCCATTACGATCATGTAATTAAGCGGGCAAGCTTTTTAAGCCTAACGTTAGATTTTCAGGATTCTCAATCATGGACAAGAGATGATAACCATCAAAAAATCGATCAAAAAAATCAAATCGAATCGACTTTTGTTCGGGTCAATTTGATACAATAATTGGTTTCGTGTTTTTTTTAAAAACCATAATTGGTCTGTTTAGCCATGGTTTGAAGTCTCAAACTACTAGTTAACCTAACTGACCCAACCTAACACACTTACATGTTTACATTTTATTTTTTTTTCAAGAAAAATAAAAATTGAAAGATAAGCCCTAATCTTATAACTATATTTCAATTTCCTCCAATATATGATGCTGCTAGTAAGTAATAGCACTGAGAATTTCACTTAAGAAGGTCACTATATAATACTTAGCATTTTTTCCATACTCAAGTAGTCATGCTATATAATGCATAAAAAAAAAAGCAAAAATCTTAAGCTTTTTGTTGATATGTTTTTATTAACCTGATTTTATTCATTAGTAATTTAGTCAACAGTTCTTGTAATATAAAGTTATTTAATTATTTTAGTATTTGTAATCTATTTGGGCTCAAAACCTAGACAAATTTTTTGTTGAGGAAATTACACCCACACAGGTTTTTAAAATACAATTTTCATAAATCCAAAATCATCTTTAATAATACATAAATCAGGTTTTAATTAATAATTTTAAATTAATTTTTATTTAAATCAATTTTCAAACCCTAATTAATTCATTCTCTCACCTCTCTTTCTCAATCAATTCTCTCCCTTCCCTCTATCCCCACCGCCGCCACTCCACCGTCGTCACTGCCGCCACCACCACTGGTGCCACCTCTCTCTCACACTTCGCTCTTCAATTCGGTGAAATAGCAAGCGCAGTCGCGTGTGGAGCCAGATCTGGTGGGTGTGTGTGTGGTGCGTCGACTTCGCGATCCTGAAGAAAACCCTTGCTGTTAGTTTCCCCGATATGATGGGGAAGGAAAAGCATGAGCCGAAGCCCCGCCGGAGCAAAATCAGCCGCGATGGATCCAAGCAGATTGGGCAGTCATCCGGGGGTGAATCTTGCGATGGATCTAGTGTTGATGGTGGATCTAGNGTGGTGGTGGAGGTACAGAATTAGTTGAGTTGGTGCGTGTCTGTGTTTGTTTGGTTGGAGTGCATTGTTTTGCCTGTAGGGAGCCATCTGAAATGGAGAAATACCTGTGAATATAGTAATGGTTTTTGGTGGTGGCGGCGATATTGTTGGTGCCGGAGATTGTCATGGTTTTTGGTTCGCCGTCGATTGGGCGGCGACGGCGGTGGCGCCGTTGGCGGAGGCAGTGGCGAAGTGGTGGTCACAACTGATTTTGGTGGTGGTCACAATTGATTTTGGTTGTTTGTGACCAGTAGTTTGGTTAGTTTGTGACCGGTAAAAAATATGTGACCAATGAATTCAATAAATTGCGACCAATAAGTGCTTTGTGACCTAAAAATTATTAATTTGTGACCCAAAATTTGATAAATTGTGACCTAGATATAATTAATGTTATGTTTTGTGACCGTAAATAAGTATTATGACTTAGAAATTTTGTGATTTGTGATCGATGAAAAAATTGTGACTTTTAAATTTTTAAGTTGTGACCGATGAACAAATTGTGACCTATGAAAATTTTGAATTGTGACCTAAAATTTTTTGAATTGTGACCAAATTGTATAAATCTGTGACCATTATATATTTATTAATAAAACATATAATTAATTAAGTAATTCATAAATAAATTTAAATAAAAACCTGATTTTTGAAATTTAAAATACCTAACCTTAATTTTGAAATGTGTATAAGTAAAAGCAGGATTTATGTATTCTTCTCTTTTTTGTTTAAATTCAATTTGGATTAAAGGTCCTAAGCAATTGAGTTTGGATCAATTAGGCTTAAGAGGTATAGTGAATTGGTTTGGGTTGAAATTCACCCAAACCGATTAATTTGATTTGATTTCGGGTTGGAGTCAAAACTTACCCAAATCAAATCATGCCCAAGACTAGGGATGGGTATGGCATGCCCCAATTTGTTGCAAGGACGGGAAGAGAGAATGAGAATGAGAGCGAAGTAGAGCTCAAGAAGTTATAGTTCTCTCTCTAACTTGGTCATTCTTGAGAAATTTCCTTCACGGAATTTAATTAACCTACACGTCCAATCTAGCTCTACAATCTACAATGTATAATAAATTATTTTGTCTTAGCTGTGAAGAAATTAATTTAAATTTTGTCATTGGTAAATGGACCCCAACCCTTATTTGACTCCCTTTAAAATAAAATTCTTATTTTTCATATTTATTTTCAACTATATGTTCATACAATTAATTTAAAACTTTTTAACCATACATTCTCTAAAAAATAATTATTCAAAATATCATTTTCCCCTAATTTTTCTTTATAGGCTTAATTTAAATTTACTATTGATAGATCTTTGTTTCACCTTGTAAATATATATTTAATTAATTATTTTTCATATTTACAGAAAATTTAAAAAATTAATAATTTTAGTTGAGCAACAGTTTGACAACCCTATTTTTCCAAATTTTTTTTCTACATACTTATTTTCAACCATTCATTTACATGATAAAATATTTTGTATGTAAATCCAAAACTTTTTTCTACCTTTTAACCATACATTTTCAAAAAATAACTATTTAAACTCTTTTTTTTTTTTTTTTAAAGTATGGTAGTGTTAAATGTATTGGTTGAGCACGGAAATTGTTATTTAGCTTTGGATGTGGGCCTGACCTGGCCCGGCATGGCAAAATCACGGGCTGGGTTACATTTACTTCAAATTTCTTGTCAGACCATTCTAATTGGGCCGTGCAATCCAACGTCTTATTATTCTCTCCATCTCCCCCAAATTTCCCTCTCCTCCAAATGGGAACAATACATGGTTCCTATTTTTAAAGTTCACATTTCATAAATAACAAACTTCTTAAAATATTTCA